AGAAACAACTGTCCTGTTAATATCTCGTTGCTTTCCAGAACAAGTTCTCTACTTGCATTACAAAGCAATAAATATCCAGTGTTGTAGAACGGCAGCTTTCTGGCTTGAAGAGCAATGAAAAGTCAAATTTTGTCATGGTGTGTTGTGGGGGTGGGGGCAGGATTTATTGATCAAAACAGCTGTGCAACCACCATTCATTTCCTTGATCCTGAGGGACCCTTGAACTACTGAAACGAATGGAAGACATTCAGCAGTGGAAAGACTGCTGTCGTGTGGTAGATAAAATCAGGTATGTTTTATTTTCATGCTGGAAAGAGGTCCCAGGAAATATAATCACAAGTCAAAAAAATAGTGCAAGGGAGGTTCTTGGGTAGCAGAGAATGTTGAACGGATCGTTTTTTTCAAAACTAGATTTTTAAAATAGTGTTGTGGGTTTACTATCTGATTGCTATTAACAGACTATCACCTGGACTTTGCCTTAAAGCAGGCATGTGCAAAGTTTGCTTTGGGGGCCTAATGCGGCCCCTGTGGCAGTCAACTTTGGGGTAAAATTGTAAAAAAAGCTCAACAACTTCATTCCTAACAACTTTGGTCGGCCCTCACACATGTTCACTGCATCTGGCCCTCTTTGAAAAAAAATTGGGCACCCCTGCCTTAAAGTGATGCCTGATCAGAGTCTGATATTTAGCACACACAAAATGTTAATGTTTCCTAAAGCCCATGGCAAATGAGTATCTATGGTTAGGAGGCTGATGCCGGTTACTGTCGAGTTGCAGCTCGGCATTCAGAGGAAAATCAGTCTCACACCATGATAGGTTCCGAAATATGGCTGCTCCTAGGGCTAATGCAGCACAGCTTTTATTGTGTGAAATGTGTGAAATCAGAAAGATACAAAAAATACAAGCCAAGCAATTTGTTCTAGCCAGCAGATAAAGACCTTCGTACTAGACCATGCGAGCGATCAGGCCATGTTACGTTAGCCAATCATATGGGACAGCACGAGCTGTTCACGCGCTGTTCATGCTCCAAGGATGCTTCTAGCTATGAAATCACCCTGTAACAATAAGAACTTTGCTCATGCTCTCATGTACAAGCAATCATTTTCCCACAGGTTACCTCCCTTGGACAGCTCAGAGCAGCTGCTGGAGAAGCTACCACAGCTGAGGCCCAGCCCTGCGTGACGCACCAGATATGGGGCAGGCACAGGGTGCCCTGGGCGGGAAGAATAGACCCTCCAAGTGTCCCTATTTTCCAGGGACGTCCCTGATTTAGAGAAGCAGTCTCTGTTTCTGATTTCAACCTAGAACATCCCACTTTTCCTTAGGATGTCCCTATTTCCATTTGAGAAGTGTTGGAGGGTATGGAATTATCTGACCCCCCCCCCAAGCTGTCTGAAGGCAATCCTGTATAGGGAAGGTTTTTAAAATGTTTTATACCACAGAGCCGAGGACTTGCCGATTATAAGGTCAGCAGTTCGAATCCCCGGACGGGGTGAGCTCCCGTTGCTCGGTCCCTGCTCCTGCCAACCTAGCAGTTCGAAAGCACGTCAAAGTGCAAGTAGATAAATAGGTACCGCTCCAGCAGGAAGGTAAACGGTGTTTCCGTGCACTGCTCTGGTTCACCAGAAGCGGCTTAGTCATGCTGGCCACGTGACCCAGCTGTACGCCAACTCCCTCAGCCAATAAAGCGAGATGAGCGCCGCAACCCCAGTCAGTCACGACTGGACCTAATGGTCAGGGGTCCCTTTACCTTTATGTTTCTATTTATGATGGAAACTGCCCAGAATGGCTGGGGAAACCCAGTAAGATGTCTGGTGTATAAATACTAAAATTATCATTATGGAATGGGACGTCCCTATTTTCATTAGGGAAATGTTGGAGGGTATGTGTGAAATTTCCCCCATCAGATGGTGCGCTTCAAGCTTTTCCTGTGACAACTGCTTTATGAACTGTTTTATCAGGAAAATTGTTTGCCCTTCCCACAGTGATTTTTGTGTCACGCTAACATCCTGGACATAGGGAGGGAGCACTTGCCAGGTCACAGCGTCACACAAGTGTGTTTGTAATTCCAAAGGCCAGCATAATAACAATAATAAATCTCTCTGGAGGAGGGGAAGGAAGACCTGTAACAGGATGTTTCTGAGCCATGGGGCTGGGCACGGATGAGTAACATCGCACTTACATTATGTGCCATATGAAATCACTGCTTTAATTCTGTTTGCAGCCAGTTCTGGAAAAACATGGCTCCCATACTAAATGAGCCCAACTGCATTCAAATGTTTTTAAGACCAGTAGCTATTTTTATACATCACATTGCACTAGAAAATTAAATAGTCTTCTAGACCTTGGTTAAAAGCTGAGGTTTATCTACGACGTGGGCTCTGCAACATAAGTTTGCAGCGCGTCTCCACAGTACAGTGGTACCTCAGGTTACATACGCTTCAGGTTACATACGCTTCAGGTTACAGACTCCGCTAACCCAAAAATATTGCTTCAGGTTAAGAACTTTGCTTCAGGATGAGAACAGAAATTGTGCTCCGGCGGCGCAGCAGCAGCAGGAGGCTCCATTAGCTATAAGTGGTGCTTCAGGTTAATAACAGTTTCAGGTTAAGTACGGAACGACCTCCGGAACGGACCTCTGGAACGAATTAAGTACTTAACCCGAGGTACCACTGTATTGTGCTTTGGTTCAGGGCTTCAGGCAGTCTGTAGCATACCCTCCAAGGGTTCTGATTTTCCAGAAACAGTGCCTGAATTCCGAATTCCTGGCTTCTGATTTGATCCCAGAATATCCCTAGATTCCAGTCTTTCTTCTTCCCAGCAACCCTTGCTAAAAACTCTCTTTTCCTGTCACCTCAGAACCAGTTGCCCTGGCAAGCTCTCAACAGCCCTCTGCTGTTTCTTAATGGCCCTAGCTTGGCCAGGTCGCTTTGCATAGGCTAGCCAAGGAATACCCGTGCAGCTTGTTTCTCCCTTCGCATCCCAAATAATGAAAACCCTACCATTTATTAAATTCTAGGGTTCAGGGGGGTCCCCCCAAATCGTTCCTCTGAGAATACAGAAACCACTGGCCCAGTTTCGCCTCCAACCTGATAGGCAAACTTCCGAGTTTTTTCCTACAGGAAATGGCGACGGGACACTGTAATTAACTTCACCAGCAATGGGCAATCATTTAGGAAACAAGGAAAACCCAAATCATTCTAAGAATCTGGTTTTGCAACCTCTCCTCTGCAAAACTAGGCAGGAAAATAAATGGGTGTGATAAAGCTGCCACGAGATGGAAGGAATAAAATATATTGCTTTTCTTCTGAATAGAATAAGGAGCATGGTGCCTTGTTGTAAATGGTATTTTCTATTTCATTTAATATACTATGATTTAAGGCTCCAGTTCATCTCCTAGTTAAGGCCCGAAACTTCAAAGGTTTTTTTGGGGGGTAAGGAAAAATGTTTAAGGCAAAGTTGCTTCTGTGATACTATCATCATCACTATTCCACCAGTTTGCACAGCGCTTTACTGCACCAGCTCCTTGGGATGCAGGATCTGGCCATGGTGTCACATGCCTTTGCTACATCTATGTGATGTGTTCGGAAGTTTCAGCTGATCCAGAATCCTGCAGCCAGAATGGAGACTGGGGCCAATTACAGAGAGCATGTCATTCCCTTGTTGAAACAGCTTCACTAGCTACGGACCCATTTCCAGGCACAAATCAAAATGCTGGTTAGACCACAGCGCCTCTTGGGCTTGCCAATCGGAAGGTCGCCAGTTCGAATCCCCATGACGGGGTGAGCTCCCGTTGCTCTGTCCCAGCTCCTGCCAACCTAGCAGTTTGAAAGCACACCAGTGCAAGTAGATAAATAGGTACCGCTCCAGCGGGAAGGTAAACAGCGTTTCCATGTGCTCTGGTTTCCGCCACAGTGTCCTGTTGCGCCAGAAGCGGTTTATGAGTAGGAAAATGAGAGTACCCCAAGTGTGTGTGTGTGTGTGTGTGTGTGAAAAGCACTGCAAAAGTCTATGCAAGGGCTTGCCCAGCATTGTTCTGGGTCTCTTCTTCCTCCTGCATGTGGTAAGTGGGGACCCTGTTGCAACAGTTTAATAAAGAACTGACTTACTAGTTGCTAGCTTCTCAATAGCCTCTGGTTGGCCTGTTATTTTCTCCTACCAATAGGTTGTTGTTGTTGTTTAGTCGTGTCCGATTCTTCGTGACCCCATGGACCAGAGCACGCCAGGCACTCCTGTCTTCCACTGCCTCCCGCAGTTTGGTCAAACTCATGCTGGTAGCTTCGAGAACACTTTCCAACCATCTCGTCCTCTGTCGTCCCCTTCTCCTTGTGCCCTCCATCTTTCCCAACATCAGGGTCTTTTCCAGGGAGTCTTCTCTTCCCATGAGGTGGCCAAAGTCTTGGAGCCTCAGCTTCACGATCTGTCCTTCCAGTGAGCACTCAGGGCTGATTTCCTTCAGAATGGATAGGTTTGATCTTCTTGCAGTCCATGGGACTCTCAAGAGTCTCCTCCAGCACCGTAATTCAAAAGCATCAATTCTTTGGCAATCAGCCTTCTTTATGGTCCAGCTCTCACTTCCATACATCACTACTGGGAAAACCATCCACTTAAAGACTCTATACAGGCTCTTGGATACCGCATAAGGGAAAAGGAGCAGTTTTTAATAATAATAATAATAATATAATAATAATAATGGCATAGGACGCCTCCCTATTGTCCAGAGTATGTAACAAAACCCAAAGTGTGCAATACTTATGCTCATTTACTCGAATGCCAGCTGGACCCCTTACTGCTTTCTCCCGAGTAAGCCCTCTGCGCCTCTTCCCCCCCCCCCCCGCGCGGCTCCTTGCGCGCTTCCTCCGCGGCGCGTGCGCCCTCGCCTCCTCCCGGCTCCCTTTTAAGCCCCGCCCAGCATGACGCGCGCCGTTCCTTTCGCCTCCCCAAGCGCTGGGTTTGCCTCTTGCTGCCGCCCCCCCCACTCCGCCCGTGCCGGCTGGAGACGTCAGCTTGCAGCTTCCCTCTCCGCCCTCCCCCTTTGCCATTGCTGCATCGTCCTCCCCGCCTCCTTGCCAGGGAGGGAAGCAGCAGCAGCAGCAGCGTCGGCGAGCGAGCGAGCGTGCGCGTTGGGGGCGCGCGCGGCGGCTTATTCCCCTCGCTGTGTGCAACAGCCTCCGGTGGGTGCTGCCGCCTCTCGCCCCCACCTCCCTCCGCCCTAGAACCGGAGCCGCCGCCGCCGCCACCTCCCTCCTCCGCGCTTATTTCCCTTCCCTTCCCAGGCTCCTCTAAGCAAGGAGCTCTTACCCAACCAGCCGCGGGTGCGTCCCTGGCGTGTGTGCATTCTTCTCCTTCCCTCCGCCTCCGAATCGCAACCTTATATAAATATATATATATATATCTCATATAATATATATATATATATATATTGCTGTTCCCTCTCCAACCCTGCTTGGTGCCTCCACCGCCGAGGAGGAGGAGCGGCAGCAGCAGCAGCGGCAACAACATGGCGAAAACCGAGCAGGTCCTGAGTCTGGAACCGCAGCACGAGCTGAAATTCAAAGGTAAGGAGGGCGCGGGGAGGGGGCGGCCGCCCATGCAGCAGCCATGCGGCGCTTCCTCGCCTTCCCCTTCCTTCCCCCCGCCGGTTTCTTTCCCCCCTTTTATTACTATTATTATTCATTTTCTGAAAGGGAAAGGCAAGGTGGCTCCTCCGGCGGCGCGCTCTGCTGCAGCCGCTTTGCCAGAAAGGGCTCAGCTCCAGCGGCAGCCATTTTCCGGGGGCCGCCGGGGCTGGGCAGAAGGAGCAGCGGCGGCCGCGCTCAGCTCGCGGGGCTTGCTGAAATGTCCTTCGTGGTCGAGGAAGGGAACCGCGCGCGGCGGGCGCGCCTTCGCCTCCCCGGGGTCCCCGGGGCGCCGGCATCGCCCGGCTGCCGCTGCTGCGCAATCCTCCCTCGCTCGGGGCGCTGGGGATGCGAAGGGAGCCCTCGAAGCGTCTCTCTCCTTCGGGTGCAAAAGAAGGCGGAGAGAGGGGTGTTTTTCTTGTTGCATTTGCGCTTTCCCCCTGCGCTCGGGCCTGCTCGGGCCCTGGCGCTGCTCCTCCGCTTCGATCCCTGGATGCCCGGGGAAGCAAAACCTTGCCGGGCGCAGCAGCCTTTCAGAAGCGGGAGCAGCCAAGAGGGATCGATCGCCCCAAGAGGGATCAGAATGGGATATATTCCCCCAGTTTTAAGCCTGTAGATGCTCCGCGGTGCAATGGGGGAAGCATCTCTCGATCCTTGGTTTGGGCGGGGGCCTACGGATCCCTCGTTGACGGCGGCAATGACGGGGCTGATCTGCGTTTGCAGAAAGGCACAGAAGATCCGTCTCGGGAAACTTGACAGGCTCCCCGATTCTTACGAAAAACAAACATTTGCAAACTTGTAAATGCAATTACGGGTGTTGCACAATCGCGCGCTGGTGGGGGTCGGGACAGTGAGGTCGGCTCCCCAGGGAAGCGTGTGCTGTGGATGTGAAGAAGCAGCAACAAATAACGCTTCATGACGTGTCACACTTGTAAGGTAGCTGGCTAGCGCTGGGTGCGTTGATCGGCCTGATCCCAATTATGTTCACTCGGGAATAAGTCCCATTGAGTTCAGTAGGAGTCAAGCAAGCATGCCTAACATTTGCAACAGATTAAGGGTTTAGGGCGCAATCCTGTGCATGCATAGGCGCCGACTCCATGGGGCTTGAGGGGGCCCGAGCCCCCTCAAAAATTTGTTTGGGGGGGCTCCGCCCCCCCAATAATCTCCGGCGCCCCTCCAGCAGAGCGCCGGAGATTATTGAAGGCTTGTAAACCCTTCAATAGAGTCCCGAAACCCCTCAATGAAACATCAGGATTTCTCAAAGAACCATCGCTGACCAATGGGCATCGTCCAAGGTGAGAGGCAGCCAATCCGAAGTCAGGAAGCAGCAGCCCCGTGTCTGGAGCGTGCGATCCGCCAGGAGAGCGCAAGAAACCGAGAGCAGAAAGCGGGGAAGAAGCGCGCTACAAAATGTAGCAACAGCGGATACAATGTTTCCTCCTGTTTCCTTGTTTCTTGCAAGACAGAAACAGAGGGCGATCCAGGGCTCCCCTCCCTCCCTCCCTCCCTACCTCCCTAGCAGAAGGTCCTTGGAGCTGATTAATAGGCGCAGCACGCTCTCCCCTATTCGCTCACGAGGAGGCGGCGCCACTTTATTTGCATATTCATGAGCTTATTTATTATTCATGAGCTTTCCCGGGCCCCCCCAATATTTTTTATAAGTCCGCGTCCCTGTGTGCATGCTTACTCAGAAGCCCCACTGTGGCCAGTGAGTCCCAGGTAAGTCAGCGTGGGCATCTGTTGTCAATTGATGGTAGCTGAATGACAATTGGAATTTTTATCTTGCTGGGGTTGAGTCACATTGCTTTTAACTGCCTGCGGCAACCTTACATCTGCCTGAAAACTGCTTGAAAGTGTGGAACGGGTTTCACTTTGTGTGGCAATAAATTCTAAGACCTTTGGCCCAGTGTGTAACAGTAAACGGCTGACTCCTCCTTTTCCCCCTTTTGCATGTTAAGATAAAAACATCTGTTTTTGGAATCCTAACTAAAGAGAGGCCTTTTAATACGTGCCTCTGATTCAGGGTGTTATACCGGGTTTATACTTTAGAAATCAAGCACTGATGTTTTCATGGACAGAGCTGCTGGTAATACAATACGGTGAGATTACACAGCAGCAACCAGCAGACTTATTTATAAAGTGGATCAGAAACGTTTCTGCTTGCAGTGGTGTTGCTCCTGTTCCCAGACTCCACCTTTACTTAGGAGTAAGTCCTAAATAAGTGCATGCATGCTTATTTGGGACTAACTCTAACTGAATTCAGTTGAACTTCTGAGTAAACGTACATCCATGATGTTGCAGTTAGACATGTATTCGGAAATAGGGTGAATTGTTTTGTCTAATTGCCTCATGCACATACTTGGTCTCCTTGCAGGAAAAGAGTTGTCACTTTACTGAACGCTGCAGTTCAGTTATAAACATGTGGATGAAACATCAGCGGTACATATGCATGTGAGACAGCAGCCATTATAATATGTATCTGAGGAATATGAAAATGCTGGTTTAATTGTGGAGGCAAGTCCAGACTCAATCCTGCTTCATTAAACATGGCGTGTCCATATAGGCACACTTGTGTGCGCACAGATCTAATGAATATGTGATGGAACTGTTGGTGTATGGTGAGATTAAAAATAGACACACACTGAACTTGGAGATACCATCTTTCTATGACTCATTAGGCACTCAATTGAAGTAAATAAGGTTCAGACCCTGAAGGCCATAGACCGGTGCTAGCATACCCAATAATTCTGGGTTAGAGCTTAATTTGTTCGTGATCTCATGGCCGTCTCTAGTAAGACAACCACCCTAAATGATGATTAAGGCCTGTTTGAGTTGAGTGAAACTGGCAGATGAGCTCCAATCCCATGCTGTATCCACCCTTTTTATTTTTACTTTGACCTTGGCAGCAGAAATAAAATTTCCTGGGATATTGAAAAACTGGGTTTTTTGTGTTGTTGTTTCTGGCACATTTATTTTCTTCTATAGATATTTGCCCTGTTTGTCCTATGTAACTATAGATGGGCAGTTGATAGCACCTGCCATGTATTAGTGCTGAGGAGCAATGCAGCAGAAATAATGTGCAGCAGCCCCTATACTCAAATTGCTTCTTATATATAGATATAGGCTTTCCCTAAGTTCTCAGCCCACTTACTCTAAAGTAATCCCATTACTCTGCTGTTAATCAAGTAATGGACTGTGACTTTTATCTGTGTAGATATGCTGTAGAGAGGAATTCATACTTCACTGACACTTTGTGCAGTCATAGTGCCTTCTCATGTATTGACAGTACATTTTTTCTAATTTAGTTTGAGGCCTTGTTTTTAACTTTGGGAGGTATAAAAATTAAATAGGTGAGACCTCATACACTTCCATAATATGTAAGCTGTGTTCTCTGCTAGAAATAAACTGCTGTTTACTGGGGGTAAAAAAAAGTATACAAAAACATGTCGTTACTGCAAGCAAAAGCACTCAACTCTGTAACATAGAAGACGAAGTGAACAGTATTACGCCATGCATATTTGTTTAGATTTGCACCCACACATTCAATTTTAGAAGGATGGATTTAATCTGGCTTCTCTAAGTAAGAATGCTTAGGATTGCTGCATATCTTTGAGGCAGATGTCACCAGTGCTTCAGCAGGTACTTCTGTCCTAATTGCAAAACAGTGCAGTAAATAAATAATAAGAGGAGAAAAAGGGCTTGAGACTCCAAGGGAGTGAGAGCTGGAAAAGTGATTCAGGTTTCCTAGGTGGCATCGCTAAATATATAGGTGCTTGGGTGGCCAACAAGTCTTTACTCAAGTCTTGCTCGGGCAGGAATTAAGAATGCAGAAGACAGAATTAGGGAGCTCTGGGAGCTCCGAAGAAGCTTCTTACAGGGAGGAGAGTTTGCTAGAGCAAATTACATTTTGCATGCATGTTCAATATTTGTCATCTTCAGGGAGAAACTTCTGCCTGAAACTCTGGGGATCTCCCAGTCATTGTAGACAGTACTAAACTTGATGGACTGGTGGCCTGATTCAGTATAAGGAAGCCTCTTCTGTTCCTTCTCCTACAGGTTTGTAGACAGTCCCTGTTTTCCTCTTGGCAGCTGTAAGGTCAGAAGAAGCTTTCAGAATCTCCTGGGGAGGCACCGCAGTGGTCCTGCATGCCAAAAATTTCTCAATGGCAGTGCAGTATGTATGGGCCAAAGTTTAATTTTAAACTGCTTAATTTACACACACACACACACATCCCTCTTCAGTGATTGTCATAAAATCTAATTAAAATTCATATAATTGCAGTAATCAAATAAAACTTTTTTTAAAAACTGTAGGCCATAGACAAAAAGTGAACAGTGCACCAAAAAAAAAAAAAGTTCTATGAGTTAGGAATCAGAAGCCATGAAAGCTTGGGATAAACTTAAGTGTCTTTAAGAAGCATTTAGAGCTGGCTACTGACTCTGTTCACTTCTTGACCCACACAAGTGAGGGCATTCCAAAGTCTAGGTGGCACCACAGAGAATATGGTCCTGTGCTTTCACCAAACAGCCTGCTGCAAACTTGTCTGCTTATGCCTGCAGAGAGAAAAGCACAGCAAGTACCATTGGAAGCCCTTGAACACACTTGAAGTTCTGGTTAATATACATTAGAAGTGAGCCGGAAGAGAAAACAAATCTTGGCCTGGAGACTAGCAGTTATGTTAACATAAGCAGGGTGATTCTCTCTGATGGTTCAAGTTGCTAGTTCCTTGGATAAGTACAGAGACCTGTGAATAGGGTTGCTAAGTTGTGCCTTCTGCTTGTCCTGCTCCTGTGCTTTTTAGTAGCTTACATGCAGAAGTTGAAACAGGGGAAAGGTCTTCCTGACGTGGAGGTAAAGTGAACAGCTGTGGCTAGTTCAAGGCTGAGTGACTTGTGGCCTTCCAGATGCAGTTGGACCACATCTCCTATCCTTGACAAGG